CACCAAACAGTGGCGGATTCAAATGAACTAAAAGATCGAACATACTCCCCCTTGCAAGTCCCAGCTGACTTGCAATAAGAATTCGATCTGGTCAATCGGAGTGGCAGAACTGCAGCATGTGACTCTGGCTTGATGGATGAACGGAGCAGTCGGGCAGAGCAGTTGAACGGAGCTGTTGAACGTTGATTGAGCAGCGCAGTGGAATTGAGTGGTTGAGCAGGTGAGCGGAGCAGCTAGCTAATGAACGGAGCAGTCAAACTGATTGAGCAGCGCAGTGGAATTGAGCGGTTGAGCTGTTGTGCAGTGGACTTGAACGGTTGAGCAGTTGAGCAGTGTACAGAGCAGTCGAGTTGATTGAGCAGCTGAACGGAGCAGTTGAACGGAGCAGTTACCAGCCTTCACGGTGTTCGGGTTTAAATATTGGGACAACACGGGCGGTTAACCCTCACAATTAATAAATATATGTATAAAGGTTAACAAGAGTATGTGCTTGGGCCTGAGCGGAGCTAAATATCACAATAGGAACAATTTTAATTTCACAAATAGTTAAAAAACAATCTTATGTTACAATGTATAATTTTTTTTTTTTTATTTAACCTAGCTAAACAATTAAAAAATTACCGCTTCCCTCACGGGTTTCCGAGGCTGAGCGGCCGGCGGAACATGTGATAGCAGGCTAAGTGGCTGATAAAACATAAACAATTTTTTACACAATGAATATAGCAGTGGCACACAAACATAGGATGTAAACGGAAGCGGTGATTAGTAGCTCATCGTTATCTACGGATCAGTAGGCAACGGTACTAGCTTTACTACTGGTCTAGTGAACACTCCCTGGCTAGTGATAACCTTAGCTACCCGCACTATCTGGCCTGTGCCCGGATACACCTCTATAACTCTACCTAATGGCCAGGAGAGGGGAGGAGCATCAATAGTCTTCACTATTACCATATTACCAACCTCAATATTGTTGCCTGACTTGGTCCACTTCCCACGAGTTTGAAGAGTACTCAGGTACTCCTGTGACCAGCGTCGCCAGAAAAAACGAAACGGCTGCTGGAGGAGCTTCCAGCGAGTACGCAAGGACGCTTGAGTATTAGAGGGCTCTGGATCGGGAATAGAAAGCAACGGTCTACCGATCAGGAAGTGTCCTGGAGTCAAGCACTCAAGATCATTAGGGTCAGCAGACGTGGGAACGAGCGGGCGCGAATTCAATGCGGCTTCAACCCTGCAAAGAACAGTGGTGACCTCTTCCAACGTCCAAGTCTGAGCATTCATGGTGCGAAGAAGTAAAGATTTAGCCGACTTAACAGCCGCCTCCCAAATCCCACCAAAATGGGGAGCACCAGGGGGATTAAAATGCCAAGCACAGGGTAGATGCCCTGATATTTTATCACTCTGATCAGAACGGTTGATCAACTGTCGCAGCTGTTTGGCTGCCCCAACAAAGTTGGTACCATAATCAGAGTAGATGGACGACGGTAGGCCACGTCGGGCAACGAATCTATCCAACGTTAACAAAAACGCATCAGTGGACAAATCAGAAACGATTTCTAAATGTACGGCTTTCGTAGTCATGCAAACAAAAACAGCTATGTAGACTTTACAAATTTGGGCCTTACGTAGACTTAGCTCCTCCATTTGTAACGGTCCCGCGTAATCAATGCCGACTATGGCAAATGGATGAGCTTCCTGTACGCGGAAACCGGGCAGATCTGCCATCATGGGTTGAGGATTGATCGTGGCGACTTTGGCACAGA